CCTTCCCCACGTGTTCCTTTCTCTTGAATCTCCGCAAATCAGATGAGGCTTCTCTTGACACATCGCGAAGAGCGCCATGACACCTCCTAATCTCCCTAGACACACGACCAGTGTTTTGTGGTGTCATTCTCATGATATGACCAAGAGGCTTCATCACTTGGCCACCAAAGGTAGTGTCAAATAATTACACGTTGATTGTCGACTTTAAGAATGTGCTGCTCAAGCCTCTTGTGGGCTTCTGCAGCTGTTGTTAGAGATTTTCACAACTTTGTTAGACTTCACACTGCGTCACTTGGGCTGGATGCTAGAGCGACGATCTCGCTTCATACCTAGGTCGGCGTTCAATCCCCGACTGTCCAAGCTGTTGAGCATCATTCCTTTTCCCCCCCCGTCCCATCCCAAATCCTTATCCTGACCCCCTTCCAAATTCTATATAGTCATAAATGGCATTTCACTCTCCTCCTGATAGTTCTATTATGTGCGTTGGCTTTTCTCTCACTGTGGTAGATTGGAATAAGGCTCGAGTCCAGCATGACTACCCTATGCAGGCGTTGGGTCACAATAACGTGGCTGAAGTGTGTTGACCAGACCACACACTAGAAAGTGAAGGGACGACGACGTTTCGGTCCGTCCTGGACCATTCTCAAGTCGATTGCCTTAATTAAAATCGACTTGAGAATGGTCCAGGACGGACAGAAACGTCGTCGTCCCTCCACTTTCTAGTGCGTGGTCTGGTTAACATGATGACCTAGTTCACCATTGGCTCGTACACGTCACATGACGTAAATGACGGTTGTGCCGCCAGGGTCCTCTTGACTCCCATCTGTTTTTCGCAATAAGGATATTAATTTTAATACGTGGAAGCTACTTAATCTCTTCAATTAATCACATCCAAGATTATTTAGAATATTCGTTACCAGTAACGAAGAATAACTGGGGTCCACCCTCGCCCACTCTCCCAGGGGTCGGGGGGGGGGTCATCCCTAGACCCCCCCCGGTGGGGTAAAGTAAGCGAACGCCCACCCTTCCTCCCTTGGGCTGGGCTGTGCTTAGGTAAACACGACCGACGCCGTTCAAACCAAACCGTATTTACCTTAGAGTCTCGCGACCCGTAACTCACCTGAGCTCGGACTCCCTATACCTTCCTTAATGTCTTACCTTCCTCAGTGTCTTACCTTCCTCCTTCCCTCCCGTTTCTTAGACACTAGTATCTTCTGCCGTGTTGATGCCCGTCTCCCAAGCATAGGCTGTGGATAGCGTTGTTAAGAAAGTTTCCTTTCATATCTCATGATGTCTGTACTGAAGGTGTTGCCTGACAGACGTTATCTGACAGACGTTACCTGTCAGGTGTTACCTGTCAAGCAGCTGACGGAGATGGATTCCTGGGGCCAGATTCACGAAAGCACCTACGCAAGCACTTACGAACGTGTACATCTTTCCTCAATCTTTGACGGCTTTGGTTACATTTATTAAACAGTTTACAAGCATGAAAACTTGCCAATCAACTGAATCCTCGTCACGGCCCTTGTGGATTTGTTCATTTGTTCATTTGATGCATCACGCTATTGTGATTTCTGTGTGTAACTGTTGTTATTGTTATAAACAGCCTCCTGGTGCTTCGAAGCTCATTAACTGTTTAATAATTGTAAACAAAGCCGCCAAAGATTGAGAAAAGATGTACAGGTTCGTAAGTGCTTGCGTAAGCGCTTTCGTGAATCTGGTCCCCCTGGGGTGTGTGCTCTCGTAGAACTGTGTTTTCAACTTAGTGACTAGCAGTAAAATAGGTACCTGGGTGTCAGTCAGCTGTCACGGGCTGCTTCCTGGGGGTGGAGGCCTGGTCGAGAACCGGGCCGCGGGGGACACTAAAGCCCCGAAATCATCTCAAGATAACCTCAAGATAACGGCTATAGTTCTTGACGCAAACTATGTAACCCATCGTTAAGACGGCTGGATCACCGTGGGTCATTGGTTGTTTGAGCCCCGCGGGACGGGTGTTTCGTCTATGCGCGGACATACGCGCATACAGAATATTGCCGGTGCGTATGTGTGCGCGAGTCTGTCGTTGACTGTTGCGGCTCGCTGCCCGAGGTCAGGAAGGGTCACTGATGAATCGCTACTTGACCACCAGACTTATTGACTGCAGGTGTCTCATGCACTGGCTCTGTTGTTGTTATAGATTAAACTACTCGGAACAAGTTCCAAGTAGCACGGGCTATGGTGAGCCCGTAACTTACCTGGCACAGGAGCGGGGCAAGAAGCACGGGCTATGGTTAGCCTCGTGGACGGGAGATGTCTCCCGTGACTGGCTCTGTCGTGGGCTGTCTGTATCTCTATTTTGTCTCTTACTCATTTACTCACAATAAATGTTCCACAGGATTAATAATGAGTTGCTAAATTTATATCCCAAGCTAAATGCTGTGTTCTTACCACATCTCATATACACCTTTGTATATGCGCTACTGTGTAATGATTTAAGGTATACATTCTGTTTATTAGCAAGAGGCATCTGTACACAGTGTGGGGTGAGGCTGGAGCCCCATCATGCTCGCCTGAGGTCATGTTGGCCTTCCTGACGTGATCCTTAGTGTCGGTCACGGTAACTTGTAATATCCTAAGCTACAGGAAGAGTGACCACCACAATACCCTGGTTGTGTGGTAGGCTTTAGGTCTCTCAACCGCCGGAGGGTTATTAAGGCCACCAAAAATAGCTTACTGTCTAGCCAACAGTGTACTGAATTCCCCGAATAGAAAACGGAACATTGCGAGCCGCTATGATAATACAGCAGTTTTTTTGGCTTTCCTGGGGATTTATAGGTCAAAATACGATGTACTATTCGAGAGGCCGGGTTGAGTTATAATATCCATCTTTTGGCTGTCACTCTTCCCTTGGAACACCTCTTCCGTGTGTAGGTGTGTGTGTGTGTATTCACCTAGTTGTGCTTGCGGGGGTTGAGCTCTGCTCTTTCGCCCCGCCTCTCAAGTGTCAATCAACTGTTACTAACTACTTCCCCCCTCCCCCCCACACACACAGGAAGCAGCTCCGTAACAGCTGTCTAACTCCCAGGTACCTCTTTACTGCTAGGTAACAGGAGCATCAGGGTGAAAGAAACTTTGCTCATTTTTGTTTCCCGCCGACGCGGGGAATGTGTGGGGGGGGGGGGAGGACGTAGTAGGTAGGGTCTTCGTTGTAACTAGTTCATCAAGATTGTAACTTGCTTAGCTAAATGAATTGTGGGGTTCAGTCCCTGAGCCCATTATGTGCCTCTGTAACCCTTTCCACTACCCCCCTCACGATGGGTATGGGGTGCATAATAAATGAACTAAACTGATTACCGTGAGGGTATTTCAGGATGGCTTCTGGCCACAGCTTTTAGAATCGACTTGAAAATGGTCCAGGACGGACCGAAACGTCGTCGTCCCTTCATTTTCTAGTGTGTGGTCTGGTCAACATATTTCAGCCACGTTATTGGCTTTCAGAAGTTGAGTTACACCGGACAAGGAACTAGTCCGGCAGCCACACAGATGATTGATTGATTGATGAAGATTAAGCCACCCAAAAGGTGGCACGGGCATGAATATCCCGTAAGTGGTGGCCCTTTTGAGCCATTACCAGTATCAAGAGCTGATACTGGAGATGTCTCCCCCGTCGCCACAGAGTACTATACTCCTTCCAGTTTGGCGCCGACACTTGGGCCGTTGAGCCGAGATTGCCAATGTAACTCCCTGAGAGTACACGAATATTGTAGTTTTATAGACCATTAGTGACCTTGTCTAAGAGCCAGAGAAATAATTGATCTCAGTGGCTGTCCATGAACTTGGATCGTGCAGTAAAGTTTGAGAATATTTTTTCTGTTTAAATGCCTCCTTTTTACTCTGCCAGAAACATGTTTTTTCAGTTATGCAATTTGCTCTTGGACTCGTCCAGTAAATAGTGAAGAGTTTCACACTGTGTCACTAAGAGATTACACCAGTATAACCACAAGGGGAGTCTCTGTGTCCCTCTCCCTCCCTCTCTCTCCCTCTCTCTCCCTCCCTTCTCCCTCCCTTCTCCCCTCTCCCTCCCCCTCTCCCTCCCTCCCACCCTCCCCCAGATATGATATAAATCGATGTTCAAAAAGCTTTTGACAAAGCACCGCTTTACAGATCACTAACCAAGATGAAGTACCCGGGGTCATGAGATAAATTACAATACCGATTCGGTTCCGGTCTAGTGATTGCTTGCCGCTCCTCTTGCATGTTGATCTTCTTAGAGCAGCTGAGCATAGCAAGCAGGGCTCCTCAGAGCTCGCTTCTCTCACCAGTGAGGTTCCAAGACAAGTGAAGACTCGCGCTAGGGAAAAACTTCGATAAAAAGGCGCTGCATCTGAGTTTAAGTGATCTGGAGGAACTAGCGCAGTGATAAGAGGAATCTGGGGGAACTAGCGCAGTGATAAGAGGAATCTGGGGGAACTAGCGCAGTGATAAGAGGAATCTACAAGAGGTTATATTATTAATAAATGAACTGTCATTCACTTTGTGTACAATAATGAACAACCTGGATGGAAAATGAGTACGATACCCACTTTCCAAAACGAGTGCGACGGTCTCGCTTCATGCAGGTCGGAGTTCAATCCCCAACCGTCCAAGTGGTTGTGCACCATTCCTTTCCACCCCGTCCCATCCCAAATCCTGATCATTTCCCAGTGCTATATAGTCGTAATGGCTTGGTGCTTTCCCCTCAGAGTTACCTTACCAGGTATTACCTTAACCGCCCTCGAGGACTCGTCAGGTCCAGCTGTGAGGGCAATTGTTCACTCGCCTTCATACGTCGCATTTGTTACGGAATTGATCAGCCCACAACACAAAAAGGCATCTTAATGCTGACGTTTTCTTTGCCTCGTTAGGTTAGGTGGGCTGCTTGGGTTCGTACGTTTATGGATAGGTAATACCGTTGTAATTTTTACGGAGTGGCTTGTCGAGAGAATGAGTGACAACCAGACGACTGTGCTGTCTCCGTCGTTATGAGTCGAGAATTTCAGAGGAATTCAAACGCCAACGGATTATTGGATCCAAATTACGCCAACTCCAAAATGTTCGTTAAAAATGATTTCCAAAAGTATTTGGTCTTTTTTAGAGCCATGGAGCTTAAAGTTGCGATGAGAAAAATATAAATTCAAAGTAAAAATTAATGTATCAAATATTGTGGTGATTGTACACATCACAAGATCACTATATTTTCCTGTTCCTTGTTTGACACGCCTGCCCGAAACGCTTTGCGTAATAGTGGCTTTAGGCATTGTATGTACTATATCTATAAATTCATCAATATTTGTATCACACTTTGTATGTATGTACTTTACCTGAATAAACATTTGAATTTTTGAATTTGAATTTTGAATTTTTCCCGCCACCGGCCGGGTGCTGGCCGCTCACCGCCTTCTGGCGACCATTTGCGGTCGGCCAGTTTTGCCTGGTGGAAGAGATGCGGGATTACTATTCCAGTCCTGAAGTCCAGGCCAGAGGGATGAAACGCAGCCGAACCAAATACTTGAGCGGTTGTATCCAGGATTGGCAGTAGGAAACGAAATTCTTTGATTGGCAATTCCCGCTTGAAGAATGGGTTAAGAAACTGGGGCCAGATTCACGAAAGCACTTACGCAAGCACTTACGAACGTGTACATCTTTCCTCAATCTTTGACGGCTTTGGTTACATTTATTAAACAGTTTACAAGCATGAAAACTTCCCAATCAACTGTTGTTATTGTTATAAACAGCCTCCTGGTGCTTCGGAGCTCATTAACTGTTTAATAATTGGAAACAAGGCCGCCAAAGATTGAGAAAAGATGTACAGGTTCGTAAGTGCTTGCGTAAGTTCTTTCGTGAATCTGGCCCCATGGTACTGTGATGAGAGAGAGAGAGGCTCGTGCTTGCGCTTTCTAAATAACAATTTATTTTATGTGATTCAAACCATTTTAGAAATTTGGCACTAGACTATAGGAATAATGATCTAGTTTGTGTCAATAAGTAGCACAATAGGTAGTTTGTGTTGTCAATAGGTAGCCAAGTGATGCTTAAAAATCCCCATTTGGTTAGTCATACCCAGTGTACAGTACAGTAATACAATACACAAGGTACAGTAATACAATACACAAGGTACAGTACAGTAATACAATACACAAGGTACAGTACAGTAATACAATACACAAGGTACAATACAATAATACAATAGTATAGTTCATTATGCACCTCGTACCCATCCTCTGAGGCGTGGGAAAAATTGTTAGGTACATAATTGGATCAAATATTGAACATTGAATATTGAATACTGTTCCCTGGGTACTGCATTACTGTATTGTACTATTCGGAAGAACTTGCTGTAGCAATATCCCATAGCCAAATTATTGTATTTATTAGCAAACAACCTACCTGCAATGAATAATTTATTTTAAATAGATATTGTAATGAAAAATATGTTTGAAACTAGCTGACATTATACGGTGTGCAGGTTTGATGTAATTGTCAATGTATAGAAATCTATGCTAAGGTCTAATTACCACCTTTTGTACCCTCTATAATCCTTTTTTGCGCTACCGCTCACAGGATGAGTATGGGGTGTATAATAAACTAGCCGGAACCACCGGCGACAATAAGAGGTAGTATCAGGAAATTTTAATCAAAATAGTTGTGGTGGCACAAGCAGAGATAGAACAGGTTGGGCATTTATCCATCCTATTAATCGTCATGCAGTCTTCTTTTCAATACATCACGGTGGGAGGATAGGATTTCTCTGCCCGGAGTGAGACTTTTACTTTTATATTGTTAAATGAAAATTCAATTCAATTTTGAATCCAAAGAATGTGTGTACAAAGAATTCTCATTATCTGCCGATGTAGTCCTGACCAAATGTAAACTGTGTCAACAAAATTATTCGCACACCCTCCGTCACTGTGATGGAGTGCGAAAAGATATGTGAATTTAGAGACAATTCTATAACCAATGTTCCAACGATGTGTAAATATTTCATTCAAAATGATCTGCTACCAGAAATTTTAGCCAAATATCCTCAGTTTGCTAACTGTAGGTAGTAACTGAGTGATTGTAACCTATCCACCGCTGCCCACTGGATGGGGGGCGGTGTGCAGGACAAACATAGAAATTTTGACACTAGCTCTCCACATATGTCAGTTGCTTAATTTAGAAACTGTACTTGTGGTCGATCTCGAACCCATTGTTGATGTGACGACTTATATTAAAGTTTGTAACTAGCTCATCAAGATTGTAACTTGCTTAGCTAAATGAATTGTGGGGTTCAGTCCCTGAGCCCATTATGTGCCTCTGTAACCCTTTCCACTACCGCCCACAAGATGGGTATGGGGTGCATAATAAATGAACTAAACTAACGAAGACTGTGTGTACAAAGAACATGAGAGTAATGTACAATCGTAGGGACAAGAGTTACAGAAACAAATGAAGCCACGAATACGCAAAGCGTTTCGGGGAAAACTTAAAATATTTTGGAACACGAAATTAAGGGTGTGGAGGGTAAACTAAGAGAGAAGCTAGCTAACAAAATTTGAAAAAAAGTTCATGAAAATTAACATGAAAATAGAATGACAATGAAGAAAGGACTATTTATTTATTTATTTATTTATTTATTTATTTATTTATTTATTTATTTATTTATTTATTTATTTATATACAAGAAGGTACATTGGGTTAGAGAGAATACATAGCATAGTATTTACAATCTTGTAAAGCCACTAGTACGCGCAGCGTTTCGGGCAGGTCCTTAATCTAACAGATAATTTTAAGTAGGTAAATTCTAGCAGAATTAATAAAATAATAAGATCATTGCAAGAAAAAAAAGAGATGATTTTATGATGAGACTAATTTTATTAGGAACATTTTAATCTTTTCTTAACACAAAAGTAACTTTAAACTAGGGAAAATGTGAAAGAAATTAGTTAGATCACACTAACGTGATGCATTTAACCCTGTCGTAGCTCAGTCGATTAAGGCAGTGTCTGGGATGTTCCCGGACGCAGGTTCGAATCCTCGTCACGGCCCTTGTGGATTTGTTATTTAGTTAGATTTTGAGTATATGATATTAATTACATGACATTAAGTAAATACTTTGTCTTTCTTAAACTGGTTGGGAGACGTACAGCTTCTAACCATAATTAGGTCATTCCACAATTTGGGACTCTTGATTTGCATAGAATTTCTGATCTGGTTGAGTCTCTAGAAATATCCAAGGCATATTTGTTCCTCGTGTGGTGACGTGAGTGTTATTACAACCTTCTAGGAAGCGTAAGGTCAGGATTGACGTTGTAATTCAGAGTTTTATAGATGCTGTATAGAGAACGCTTGTGTGTGTGTTGTGGGGGGGGGGCAGAGATTTGATATTTAACATGTTCAAATATTTCAGTAAGGAGCAGAGTGGTGTCTGGGACTGGAGTTTGTTATTGTTCTAATTGATGATTTTTGTTGTATAATTATGATTTTCTTTCTCTTTCTTTCTCTCTCTTTGTCTCTTTCTCTTTCTTTCTCTCTCTTTTTCTCTGTCTCTCTCTGTCTTTCTTTCTTTTTTCTTCTCTCTCTCTCTCTTGTCTCTCTGTCTCTCTGTCTCTCTGTCTCTCTCTGTCTCTCTCTGTCTCTCTCTGTCTCTCTCTGTCTCTCTCTGTCTCTCTCTGTCTCTCTCTGTCTCTCTCTGTCTCTCTCTCTCTCTCTCTCTCTCTCTCTCTCTCTCTCTCTGTCTCTCTCTCTCTCTGTCTCTCTCTCTCTGTCTCTCTCTCTCTCTCTCTCTCTCTCTCTCTCTCTCTCTCTCTCTCTCTCTCTCTCTCTCTCTCTCTCTCTCTCTCTCTCTCTCTCTCTCTCTCTCTCTCTCTCTCTCTCTCTCTCTCTCTCTCTCTCTCTCTCTCTCTCTCTCTCTCTCTCTCTCTCTCTCTCTCTCTCTCTCTCTCTCTCTCTCTCTCTCTCTCTCTCTCTCTCTTCTCTCTCTCTTTGTCTCTCTCTCTCTCTCTCTCTCTCTCTCTGTGTGGGTCATTCAGGCAAGCAGATTGACCCCATCATGGAAATGAGTATGAATATATGCATGACCGAGCGTGTGTTTGTATATACGTGTGTGTGTGTGATTTGTGAGTGTTCCTGTGTGCACGTGTTCCCGTGTGTTCGTATGCATGCCTGTGTGTTTAATGTATTTGTGTGTGTGTGTGTGTGTGTGTGTGTGTGTGTTATGGTCACCCTTCCCATTTTCTCTGTTCTCGTGAATAAATAATTTTGTGGACGTATATTCTAATTGTATAGTTGATTTAAAATGAATGCATATCTTAATTCCTTCAAAGTGAGATTGGTTTTTATATTAAAATCAAAGAAATATATTGTTAAATCTTAAATATTAATTTAACGAAGGGTATCAGCATCGGGACATGCACACAGAGGCGGGACCAAAGAGCCAGAGCTCAACCCCCGCAAACACAACTAGGTGAGTACAGTTAAATTCAGCTTCTCGATGTATATGTGAGTTTATTTAATCTTGGCTAAAATATACTTTCTGGTTAGTTAGCTCTTGTATTGGCCATAGTAAACACCAAACACATATCGGCGTTCTCCCGGCTACTTATTCTAGAAGAGCAGAGATCGCCGCCGCGGCCAGCCCCGAGCGATCGCCGCCGCGGCCAGCCCCGAGCGATCGCCGCCGCGACCAGCCCCGAGCGATCGCCGCCGCGACCAGCCCCGAGCGATCGCCGCCGCGACCAGCCCCGAGCGATCGCCGCCGCGACCAGCCCCGAGCGATCGCCGCCGCGGCCAGCCCCGAGCGATCGCCGGCACGGCCAGCCCCGAGCGATCGCCGCCGCGGCCAGCCCCGAGCGATCGCCGCCGCGGCCAGCCCCGAGCGATCGCCGGCACGGCCAGCCCCGAGCGATCGCCGCCGCGGCCAGCCCCGAGCGATCGCCGGCACGGCCAGCCCCGAGCGATCGCCGCCGCGGCCAGCCCCGAGCGATCGCCGCCGCGGCCAGCCCCGAGCGATCGCCGCCGCGGCCAGCCCCGAGCGATCGCCGCCGCGGCCAGCCCCGAGCGATCGCCGCCGCGGCCAGCCCCGAGCGATCGCCGCCGCGGCCAGCTCCGAGCGACTAGCAAACTTTGAAGAGAATTCTGGTTGCAGCTTCAAGAATTGATCTCGTTTTGCAGGTGTTGCCTTAACCGCTGCTTCTCATTACCGACTAACCTGCGGTGATTTACATAATGGTCTCTCGGTTGACCGCAACCTTTTGTACTTTTATGTGGCGGTTGTGTTGACCCCCGTTGCCCTAACAGGGATTGCTAGGGCTTAGGCGTTGTCCATTCTTCATCCCTGGTGGTGGTACGGGCGGGCGGCGTGTACCCGGTAACATCTCCGTGCTGTGGCAGTCTCCGGGTAACATCTCCGTGCTGTGGCAGTCTCCGGGTAACATCTCCGTGCTGTGGCAGTCTCCGGGTAACATCTCCGTGCTGTGGCAGTCTCCGGGTAACATCTCCGTGCTGTGGCAGTCTCCGGGTTACATCTCCGTGTTGTGGCTAGTCTCCGGGTAACATGTCCGTGCTGTGGCAGTCTCCGGGTAACATCTTCGTGCTGTGGCAGTCTCCGGGTAACATGTCCGTGCTGTGGCAGTCTCCGGGTAACATCTCCGTGCTGTGGCAGTCTCCGGGTAACATCTCCGTGCTGTGGCAGTCTCCGGGTAACATCTCCGTGCTGTGGCAGTCTCCGGGTAACATCTCCGTGCTCTGTCATCCTCCCTAACCGATGGCCAGGCTGACGAGGGCTGTGTTTTATTAATCAGTGCTTCATCCCACGTTCCCACTATGGATAGCTTGCAGTTCATTTCCCAGACGCCCTAGTTGGGTCTGGAGGCGGAGACGCGTGCTCTTGGGGAGCTTTGATGGAAGGCCGCCACGGGCCTTCCCTTCATCCCGACCCACCTCCAGGCTTTGTGCATACTTCATCTGGGTCTAATGACTGCGTTGACCCACATTACTAAAGGGCAAATGGGATGCAGACTCCACACACACACACACACACACACACACACACACACACACACACACACACACACACACACACACACACACACAGTTGATTGACAGTTGAGAGGCGGGACCAAAGAGCCAAAGCTCAACCCCCGCAAGCACAAATAGGTGAGTACAAATAGGTGAGTACACACACACACACACACACACACACACACACACACACACACTCACACACTCACACACACACACTCACACACTCACACACACACACTCACACACTCACACACTCACTCACTCACTCACTCACTCACTCACTCACACTCACTCACTCACTCACTCACTCACTCACACACTCACACACTCACTCACTCACTCACTCACTCACTCACTCACTCACTCACTCTGCGCAAAATAAGAAAGAACAATGAAGTGCATGTAAATCTATCGCCAAGTTTAGGGGGAGGGGGAAAGAGCAGTTTGTAAGTACAATAATAAACTTTTTTCTATCGTAGATTTTGAAGCAATAATTGATCTACCTGAAACAATTCCTATCTTCAGAAAAACTTTTAAAAGGACTGATTGACATGCAAAAATGTGAAAAAATTGTAACTTGCACTCCTATCCCTGCCTCTTGTTGTTTCATTGAAAATATTCCACCGGTTTCCACCAATTTCAATGGTTATTATTCACCAATGAATCAATGCTCTTGATTCAAAAATACATTAAAAAAATATTGATAGACAAATACATTCGAAAGTGGATTGTGTAACCATAATGTAGTGCATTTTTTTCTTTTGCGTATATTATTTCTTATTTTAATAATTTATATTCAGAAATTCACATCAATGGCGCAAAAGTGTAAATATTCGGACGACTTTGAAACTAGGCTTCACCGCGGTGATCAGCGACGCATCTAAAAGCCGCAAGGCTTCTTATAAAGCCTCTGCAGCATATTAAAATAGATTCAATTTTAATTAATTTCATTATCATGTCGTAACTCAAGGGTATGGCGGGCGTCTGGGAGTACCCAGGGCCAGCTAACCACGAACACTGTTCAACATCAAATTATAGTCAACCATTGCACAAGAACGTGGCGTACCTGTTCAAAAGAAAAAACAAGGGTGGTCCACCGGGATAACAATCCATGATATATCCAACTTTTACAAAAATCCTCATCCCTCGCAAGTAGCTCGGTAGAATGGGATAATCAGAAGTATAACTCAAGAGGGAGGATACATATGCGGCGTCACATCTTTGCCGGGGTGAATCTGTATGCCAAGTTGCTTCGTGGTGTTGCAAGTCCTTGCACCCCAAAATTCACTGTATAGTCCTTCCAGCTGGGCCTCTGTTCCTGTTTAACTAATGCGTGAATATCTTGAGTTATCTTGAGATGATTTCGGGGCTTTTTAGTGTCCCCGCGGCCCGGTCCTCGACCAGGCCTCCACCCCCAGGAAGCAGCCCGTGACAGCTGACTAACACCCAGGTACCTATTTTACTGCTAGGTAACAGGGGCATAGGGTGAAGACTCAATGTTTGGAATGTATTTTGTGGTGGATTACCATTCACAGCGCAGTGTCGTTCCCAACCTGCCAGCCAGAGCGTCAGCTGCTGGGGAGCCCTCTGAATCATAGCCAGGACTGCTAAAGCATTTACTTGTTCACTTACGGAACCTGTACATCTTTCCACAATCATAGCGGCTTAGTTTACATTTATTAAATTTTATGAGCTCCGAAGCTATATAAGGTTGTCAATAACAATACGGGTTGCGAAGCCTCGAAGCATGTAAACTGTTTAATTCATTCAAAGTCGCCATATTCGAAGAAAGATGTAAATGTTTCGCAAATAGGTACGCAAATGCTTGACCAGCAGTGTGTTCTATAGCGAGGCGAGGAATTTATTCCTATAAAGATTCATAGCTGCTTCCAAGGCCGGTTTTATAAAACTTCTCTTACGCCGCGTCATAGAATGTCCTGATTCACAGCATCATCATCAAATTTTAATTTCCCCAAGATGTCCTTAGAGTCGTGTGACCCCTCGATAAAATCCTCGGTGAATCTTATGCCTTTCAAATCGCTCGTCTTGGCCTTCAGGATGGTCCAATATTTATATTTCGTAATCAACTCTAGCTCTATCTCTACACGTGCTTTATCCCACACCTGTTCCAACCCTCAGAGGCCTTGACGTCAGAACTTGACTACTGAGTGGACCGTTAGTATTTTGTTTGTACCCCTGTGTCAATACCAGTTTTCTGGACGCACTTCTCTTCGAGTATGCGAGGCATCGCCCGTCAGGCTCGTATCTTCATAAAGCCCCGTGGTTCAAGTTTAATTCGAGACAATAAAATACATCTCAAATTATAGAGTAGCTTAGGCTATTTCTACCCTCCTCCTCCCCCTCTCCGTCCCCCTTGGTTGATGTCGCACTGCCCGTCAGTAAGCCCAAAGCTACCACGATTTGAGGCTCTCTGATCCCCCTTTCTCCCGTTCCTTCCTCCCATTATTGATGACCGACCCCCACGTTCATTATCGAGGCTCATTTCCATGATGTGAGGACGATGGCCCTCACTCCTACACATCAGTGGTTGCAATATTATGATCGCGATCTGTGAGCCTTTCGCTTACCTGGTTGGTGTTTTCTAACGTCTCCTGCCATGATGGCGATCCCCACTACCCCATGATTTCACTTTATTCCCCCCATTATCCATGTCGGTAGAGGTTCCTGCAGTGATTGGTCGTACCCCATATTATGGTACGTATCCTCGCCCAGGTGTTGCAGTACCTTTCGTTACCCATTTATTACAGTGCTTACTTCTGTTAAATTCGGTAGCTAGCTCCTCTATTCTGGGATATTTATGCGACCTATTCTGTTGTGAGTTTCTATCTTCTATCTCTCTCCACATTTCCTCCTCCTCCTCTTGGCTCGAGGAGGAGGAGGGAGGATAGGTGAGATGGCGACGGTGTAAATTGTGAACCCAGGTAAAATGTATCAGATTTCCTAAGACCAACTTGGACCTCGGGTCGCTGGACGTGTTGGAGGGAATATGATTGATCCTTGGACGTGTTATATATTTTGTATTTGTCAAGAATCGTACAGATTCTTTAAGTATCTTTATAAAGACAAGAAAAAAATAGCTTAAGAGCATTCCAGTGAAACATGAAATAGCTGTTCGAAAACAGCCTATCCACCAACTGGATACCGTTTGCCCCCTGGGCGCAGCGTAATGAACAGTGTCAAAAAGTATTAAGAGTTCTTCCTGCCGGTGTTCCCCCTCTCACAACTCTTGCCTTACCGTAGCAGTCCCTCGGTCTCTTCGAGTCTCATCCTGGTGCCCTATTTTAGCTCAATTCAGGTGGTGAATGGTGGCCGGGTTTGCGACCAGAATGGCAGAGGAGAATGTGAGAAAATGATTTCATTCGGAATGACAGAAAATGACAGGTTGTTATTTTATCATTGAGAGGAAGTGACTTATTTCGCAGTAGTCACGACTGATGGAACACTTCCTCTGCCGATGGCTCGGTAACCGGCGATGACATGTGCTGGTATAATGTTTAGGTCATTAGCCGTCATACACACCGCTGCTTTAGGCTATCTTCTCGCGGGGCAGCGGTGGCGGCCATTTACAAGATCGCCGTCAAGGTTTTTCCCCGCCCTGTGATGGTGACGTTTCTCAAGTGTCACTCGACGATTTGGATTCGACCAATCTGGTAACGCCTTTGATGTTGGTCCATTACTTGTTTCTGCCTCCCCCCCCCCCCCAATCTTGACCCACAGCCGTCCCGTTCCCCTTATTTTTCAACCCCCTTTACCACCCATGTTCCCGAGGTCTTCCTCCCCATCACCCTATCCTCTCCTCTCATTCCCCATACTACCCCTTAGTCCTCCATTGTCCCTCCGCCCATCTCCCTTTATCAGCCCCTCCCATTTGTATAGAAGTTTGGCGCACTTTTCGCATTAATAGACTGACCACCCTACCCTATTCATCCACCCTACCCTATTCCTATTTACCCTTTCTTGGAGCATAATAAAGAATGTATACTTATGAGGAGAGCCTTTTCAAACTTGAAGAAATGTGTCTGAACCAACACCGGTCGCTTTATGACGACCAATAAACTGTTTTACGAGCTCGCGATAGGCTATTGTTTTATGCGCGGTGGTGCGAGCTGCCCAT